CTCAGAGTTGCCAAAAGTTAAGAACATCCTTAAGTCAGTCTGTAAAAGAGTTGTAACCATGTGCAATGGTAAAGAAATAGTTTCATATTTCAAAGTTTAAAGAAACATTACTATCATTTGAACACCTATGTGTTTGCATGGCTGCTATTTAATCTCTATGTGAAAGTTAAAGAATTATTGACACCCTTCCTTCTCCCATCCAAAGTGGGTTTTCAGAAGCACAAGCAGAGATACTTACCTGTGGAAGACTTTTTGGCTGTAACTTTGGATTGGACAGCAGATGCTGTTGGAGTCAGATGGTAGAAATTTACTAGATGTACAATGTTGCATAGTAGAGTGAGATTGTTTCTCATTTTTTCTTTCTAAAAATAAGAAAAAAAGAAAGCTAAGTATGATAGTAAACTGTCTTTGCTTATGTCCTGCCAGATGTTTAATCTCAAAGTAGATTAAAAGTAGGTCCAATAAGATGTTGATGATAATGAATAAATAGTCAAAACACTACTTTTATTTGAAATTAATAATTGGAATTGCCATCCTTTTTGCAACTACATAACACACCTAGTTACATCAAATATGTTTCTCTATTATACTGTTAATTATATAGTAATGTATCAAATGAAAAGTAGAAAAATATTTCTTTTCATTTCTTGTTGATTTCTGAGAGTCTTTTGACATATAAATGATTCAATATCTTTGTCCAGAATGACCACATAATTGTTGCTTAGGAGAAGACACCAATTCTTTTTAAAAAGAGAGTCTATTTATAATAATCAAAAGCAAATAACATGTCTCTTCTAAATGAAAGTGGCAAAATATGTTTATTAAGGCTGTGCTATACTAACAGCAGAAGTTTCAATGGTCAACAGACTTTTGAATCTTTAGACTGCTATGGTTTGACAATTAATTATTTAAGAATATGTGAATTTCATTTATATTAGTCTGAGAATAAAACTTAGACTTACTCATTTGTTGATATGTTTATTAAGATCTCTGAGTTTCAGGCCAAGTGTATCTTATTTTACACCAGGCATCAGGGTATCTCCAGTCCCTGCCTCAACGTTAATTCAAGGACGGATTAGCACTTATGTATTTTCCCTCATCTGAAGTTCTCTGTGCATTTGGTTTCTGTACATGTTTTTGTAGTGTAAGATATGAAATTTTATATTTTTTCAAAAAATAAAAACCCTTTGAACACAGTTAAATCGGATTGTCATGCTTGACCCTTTTCCAGAAGAATTTAAATTACAGCCTCTGTATAATGATTTCAGTTCATTCTAATGAAAATGTTGGAATGTCTTATGCTAAATATTTTAAATTCAATCAGCATGCAATTTTCTCAAAGACCTATTTATGAATCTTTGTATTTGAATGTTTTTTGTAACTAGAGTTTGACACTGAGATTGTAGGACATCAGCATAATTATGGGAAACCTAATTAGGAGTTGATTTATAACACTGTAATGTAACATTACTTGCAAAAAATAGAAAAGTGTGTTTACCATCTGCAAAATGAGACCTGCTGCTGATGGGCTTTAGCTGGTTCTCTTCCCCTAGACAAGCATCTGCTTATGAAACAGGGTGGAAGAATTGCATTCCTACCTTCTTACAAGAGGGGTACCACTGTCCACAAATGCTCCCCTTCTCTCAGTATTGTATGATATCAGTCTCCTTTTGTAAAGAGCAGAGCAAAACAACTTGCTGTATGCAAGAAAATTAATCATATTTGTATTTTGTTGCATTTATATTCTTAGAAAGTGACATCACAGGCCTATGAAAATAATCTGTAACTCCTTTGCCTATGAGTAAATCATTATTTCAAGGGACATTATTTGATATTTTAGTAGATACTCATATAAAGACTGAATTCTTTGTTAGCAAGTACACTGTTCTTGCCCTTGTGTTGCTACAGAGGTAAATGTTATATGATAAGAGGGATTTTCCCCAATCCTATAGGCATTCTTGACCAGATAGAGGGAATGGGTGGCGGTGAAGAATTAACATTTAAGAAGCATGCACTCTCCTGTATTAGAGTTTTTCACTCTTACCTTTAAGATACATTTTATTGTCTCCACTTACTCATGAGGAAACCATGACTCAAAGCTGTTAAGAAACTGCCCAAGTCCCGACTGCTCTTCAATGGCAGGATGAAACCCACATTTATTTTAGGACAAACCCACAAAATGGGTTCCCACTACACCACTCTCATTCCACAATGCTGGCCATGCTGCCTAGATAATGGAATCTTTCAGGTCAATCTTCTAATTTAATTAATGTAGGAAATGAAGATAAATGAGAAAAAATGATCTGCACAGTTTCATAAAGTGTGAAACTTGGGTGGAAACCAGCATATAACATAGTATATTTCTAACATATTTGGTTTTTAGAATAAACCAAACTTTTAGAGTAAAAAATTGCTTTTCTTATTTGTGTTTCTTCCACGGCATAGCAGCAAAATCTAATTCAATATATATTTCTAGCATATGTCATAGTTTTCTCTACTACAAACTCAGGAAATTTCAATAAATACTTACTTACATTTCCAGCTATGATATCTAAACTTTAACTATGGAACTTTGGAGTCTACAGGCAATTCACTATCAAATTATAAGCAAAAGTAAAGTAAGTTGACATTTATGAAAATCCACAGTAGCCATTCAAATCAAGCAAGAGTTTCAAATTGTATAGTAAATATAATTTTACTTGAATTTAGAAGGTTAAAAATAATAACTGGAATAAAGTTAGCAGAAATGCTGGAATATTGATAATTGTTTTCATAGAGAAAGTTGTTAGTTTTTAAATCCTCTCTCTAATTTTTAAAAAAAATGTGTTGGGATTATTAATTTCAATTTGAAATTTCTTAATGATCCCAAGTTTCCAGAAAGTAAAACTCATTCAAAGCAGTTCTTTAAGTTGTGAGACATTTATTCTGTTTTTCTTTTGCACAAAGGTAGAAAGGGAGCCAACTCCATTTCAAGGCTAAGTGACTTTCCTCAGGTCACATAGTTCATTATTATATCCCTTCTCTCTTTTAAGTTAATCCTCTCCCTCTGCATTCCAGATGGTGCCCTCCTGCTTTGGAATCTTTTCGCCAATTGTTTCTGCTCTTGAATATCCTTAGCTATCAATTCCGCGGCTCCCTTCCCCTCATCCTCTACATTTACATAGCGTGTTGGTGTCTGGAGGCAGCATGTCAAAATTTGTTCTGTCAGCAGCTAGTTGTGTGAACACAGGCAAGCCATTTAACCTCTGTTCCTTCAAGTGCCTCATTTATTAAATGAGGAAGTGCTATGGCTATTATGAGAATCTTTAAATCTACACACACAGAGAATGAAACTAGAGTCCACCCTGTGCCCTGTGATAATCCTTTAGTAAATGTTATTTATCTTTATAAATACCACTTGACCGGGAATCAAACCCACAACCTTTTGGTATACTGGAAAAGGCTCCAGCCAATTGAGCTACTAGACAAAGCACCAGGATTGTATCTTAATACTCTTCCCATCCCATGATATATGCTTTCCTTTGGAAATCCCACCAATCAGAAGTCTTCAATTTTAACAT